CGTTCGTTTTCTTCTTACTGACGCTCGACGTGGTCACCGTTCTCTTGGTATTCGTTCGGTTCCCGCGTGCCGAGACACTGCCCGCGATCGAGGAACTCTCGCTGCCACCCTCGCTGGTGCCTTCACCGCCGGTGGTCAGTCTCACGTCGTCGGGAAGGGTGGCGCAGGGGTCCTCGTAGACGGAGCAACAGCTCACCAGGCTCGAGTCGCAGGAAGCTTCGTCCAAGCCACCGCAACTGCTCGCGTAGTCCAAGCTATTCCTACTACGGACCTGGAACAATTTCAATCACAATTCTTTAGTACGTCATTACTGACTAGGAAACTGCGGATTGTATGCTTATAGGGGTCTTTGTAATAGAATAAAGGAGAAAACTTTCACCAGATCTGACAATTTCTCTGAGCCAAATATGTATGGGAAAAAGAAATTCCTACCTTTGTTCATGACTTTATGGATTACTTCAGAGAATACCGTTTTGCAGAAGAATCCACAAGTCTACTGATACTTAATAAATTTACTAATCAGGTTGAGTGAAGAAGCATTCAACCTTGAAAGATCTTCCACATTTGGATGATCGACACTGACTCATGGATGGCAGAAAATATGTCTAAACACCTGTCAATCTGTTTTCAGCTGAAGTTAGCCGAGGTGTTTCTGAAGACCAGGGTCGAAACAAACCTGGCCACCATCCTCCATAGGACAGAACCGTTCAAGACTGTATTCCCTGGTTTATCCACCCTCGATTCTTCTATCTAGCCACTGGTCCCTGCCTACAACCGTATCGTTTCGAAGATTCTCCTGGTCTCTTAATAATTGAACGGCGCAACGACCCGCCACCTTTTACAACCGACCAGGCAGCCGATGAGGTATCGATCCTCTTACCCTCGGAACCTCGGTGGCGCAACCCTCCACGCCGCTGTCACTGCCGTCCTTGCTGTCCTTTCCCTCGGCAGCGTAATCCTTTCTGTCCCCGCACGACAACGTCTGCTCGGCCGTCTTTTTCGTCTCCGAGTCCGTCACGTGGATCACGGTGATATTGCAGTCGCTGTTCATCGTGCCGTCCGGATCCTCGTCGCTCAACACCTTCCCAGCGTCGACCAACGGCGACGCCAGATCCTCCGGTACACCGGAGTCCTGCCTGGCCACGTTAGGTGACACTTTCAGGCTATTGTCCTCGAGAGGCATCGTGATCTCCATCTCGAGGGTAGCTTGCTCGTTGCTCGGACTGACGTTCATTTCGTCGGTGCCATCCTGCAATTGAAGACCTTTATTTACTGTTGTTGCTCTTTTTTTTTTTTTTTTTTTTTTTGAAAAAGGTTCAACTCTTTAACACGCTCAAACAGTTTTCCCGGGAAAAAAAATTATTTCTAGCGATTGGTTAACTCAAACATTCACTTTAGGAGACGAAGGATCAAAAAACCTTAGATTATATAATAGGTAGGGATGGGACGATCCTAGCGACTCTCCGCCCCTGGACGAGTATTTCCCCACCTCCATGTGGCCCGGGACTAAAAAAGTTACGACGGTTGAAAAGTCAGGGGAAACAGTATCCCCGGGTAACGACCACGGTAGTCCCAATTGTGGGGCTACGAGATAGCTACCGACGCAGAGTCACAGCTGGGCCTTGGGGGGAAGATCGAAATTCCCCTCTCCCGGGAGACCACGTTCTAAACTAAACTAAACTAACTCAAACATGGTCTCTCTGAGCACCGTTCGATTCTGCTGCACAAGTTTATAGTTCTCTCTATCGATCGTGCTAAACGAATTTACAGACCGGAAGTGTGAACGTCGCTGGAAGCTGTTCCACTTCGTGCATCCCGTATTTCGAATTCCGTACAGGTCCCTGAAGAGTAACGCGGTTACGCAACACCAATTTCCTTTTTGTCCATAGGCGTACGTCGCTAAATCAATGGACAAAAAAAAAAAAAAGACATTCCCAGATTTCGGTGTGAAAAGTTCGATCGCGTAATTCCGATCGATCCTTCCCTCGACAATCGGGGACCGGAAATGATGCAACGCAGTGGTCGGGAGGGGAGGGGACGTAGTCGATTCGTTTGCAGAGCGAACGATGAAATACGGCCTCTGCACGATTAGGTAAAACGAAACGATGTCCGGGGCAGCAAAGGATCGGATGGGAAGCTATTAAAATCCGGATCTTGACCGTGACACGAACAGGCAATCGTTTGTGAGATTCGATTACGAGGGAGAATAATATCCGCTACGGGCGTTACCTTCCAGGATTCGCGAAAATCAAACACCCGGGACTAATCGGTTTTCGGGACGAACACGATGTGAAGCTTAATCGTGAAATAAAATTATAGGATACTCTCTAAAACATACTATTTCAAATACGATGAATACATTTTCGAGGAACAAATTCCCCAAACATCACTCTCCTTTTAGGCCCCCTGGGTAATCCCTTAAGGTGGTACGTGTCAAATTCGAAAGACTAGATAATTAAATAGAGTTCATAGAGATTGTTTATTAGAACAAAATACACACGCTCGAAAGAAAAACTTTAAATGCAAAATTTAAACAATAAATATTTTTTTGTCTTCAAGAGTGTAGTAATGAGGATTAAAACGCATATTTGCTTCGACCGCTGGATAAACGTGGAAAACTTTTGAAAATTTAGAAATTTAGAAATTAACTAATTTCTTCGCTCTCGTATCATAATAAAAAGTGCAAAAGATTTGAGAAAATGTATTGTCATAACATTTGAATCGTCGTTGTGAGAGTGTATTGACCAGTCATTTTGACTGGTTTGGTAGTTCTAGCGTTAATGTCATGCCACGTGTACCTCCGCACGTATGTATTCCTCTCGAATTTCGCGGCCATGACTCACGGATCCACGTGCGTCTGCAACGTGCAAAGATTACGAGCCGACTGTGTTCCCGGTGTCGCGTAATCCGCACCTAAATGTGACTTGTCATTTGTCACGAGCACAACACAACACGGATACGTGAAACTGTTTTATGCGAACACTTTCGCGGGAATCCACGTTGAAAGTGAAAAGAACTTTCGGAAATTAAATCGGAATTTAAACATAGAACAAAATGTAATTGGATGATGTAAATTCATTGAAAAATAATCTATTGCGAATACATGGGGGTTCTAATGCGTTAAATCGGTCTCCGCTTCCGTCCCCCACCTCGTAATCGTTCGCGGCTCAACCTGTCGCATGTTTCGCGCGATCCCCTTCCCCTTTTCGCGAGCCATTACGTGTTTCAATAGCAATTGACGAGTAACCGTCGCGTCATCCAAGCCCGGTGTTCCCCTTTCACGCGCGTCTGAATCGCGTACGACGCGATTCGAGTGCCTGCTCTCCGACACGCTGTCATTGAACAATTATCCCCACCGCCGCGATCAATCACCTCCGTGTCTCTAGCTGATAAACAACCGAGAAAGTCCATATGTGTGTACGCGTGGTTATTCACGCAACGGTGGAATGATTCTTGCCGTTTTTATGGGAAGTTCTTAGCGAGGCCAGGCGGCAAGAATCAATTGGGGACTTCGTTACGTATCGCCTGGATCAGCGGTCCGCATCCAGTGACGTAATTTTAATGGTCCGTGTAAGAAATTGTCGAGCAAATGTCGCACTAATTTATATAATGAATTTAAATCTACTTAAACACAGTGACGTAGTCAAACTAAGTAAGACCTTGCTATGATTCTTCACTCAATGGAAACGCAGACACTGTATTATCTCAAAACAAAAGTGAAAATGTACTTCCAACACTTTCAACATAAGCAATCCATTAATAATAAAATTCCACGAGCTGAAATAACAGAATTTCCTTTACAAACAGTCACAATGCTAACATAAACATCTAATTCCTTTCCATGAAACCGATCTGAACAGTATCTACTGATCAACATTCGAATAAACCACAAAGCTATGTATCTGTATCGAACCAATAAATCATTAGCTAAGAATCGTCACGAAACTCGCTGTTTGTCAATCCATTCCCCGTAATTCTTCAAGCATCAACACGACTGGCCGATCCAAATATGTGCATCAAAAAAGGGGGGACAATCGACAAGGTCAGGGGAACTCCCGTTAAGGCTACCCCCCACTCTGTGAAAAGAAAATCGCGAGTATAACAGTCATGGCCATTGGATAGTCGGTTCCCCTGACCGTGATAATCGGAAACGTACACACAGCACAGTCGGAGTTGTGAGATCGAGTAACATTGCAAAGTGTGGCACGTGGCGGCCTGAGGTCTCCTTCACGCGGGGAACTCCCGAATGGCGGCGATGACCGATTGGCCAGCCACGGCTCGTCTGCTCAGAGGCCACTCCGCCATTATTACTACGGCGCCGCGACGTCGTTCCCGTCGTTGTGCGGGCTGGACGCTCGCAGGACGAACAACCCTTCGTGAATTGACACGGAAACAAGAGTATTTAATTAGTAAAATATAATTAGTAAATTTAATTTAAAAAAAAAAAAAGTAAAGTATAAGTTGTATCCTCCGAACGACAGAAAGGTGAAAAATTGAGGATCGTGTCCGGATGAAAGTGAATTAAGAAACCCTGGGATCGAGGATCGGACAGAGGATACATACAACGAAATCCCAGGATTTTCTACCCGAGTCCGAGATCTTTCTTTCGACGATTGTATTTAATTGACGTGTATTGTTCGTTGAGAGTTTATTGGTGAATTGAAAAGACTCGTGAATTCGAGGGAGATTTTGTGGAGAATCGAGTTAACGAGGGATCGAGTATTATGATAAAATGTGGGTGGTGTGAAGCTTAATTGTTTGGACTAATTAAGCGAGTCTTCGGTGAACTGGAGGATAAATGGAGAACAGTGTTTCGTTGGTCTAGAATAGTCGATTTGAACTAGCCATTTCCTGTGTTTCTCTGTTACTGGAAGAAACTACGATCTATGTGGAAAGATTCAATGGAAGATCAAGCATACTGACGACAGAGACGAGGACATTGAAATTTTTCATTTTTTTTTTTTCTCCAATTTGTCGTAAAAAAAAAATCGAGAAAAGGCATGCCTGCGATCGAGAGAAATATCGAAAAGATCCGAGGGGATGGTCTGTCCCTGAGGATCGCGTCGAACGAACGTGTCCTGGAGATCGTCGGCGACGGATGCACCGTGACCATGGGTAAAAATTCGGGGTGCGTTCGTGTGATCGGAGACGGGTGCCGCTTGAGGATCGATCTTAATCTCGGGAACGTCGAGTACACGGGCGACGGTGGTCGTGTATTGTTGGGCGCGTTATCGTCCGGGAACAATGTGAAGTACGTCGGCGACGGTGGCAAAATATCGGTGGACGGTGAACAGAAATCGAGAGGAAAGAGAACGTCCAAAAAATGCGTTCCAATGGAAAAAATCGTTAAGAACGAAGACACGATAAATTCCGTGAAGAAGGGAGCCTCGAAGACCGTCGAGGAAAAGGATAATATCTTGAACTCGAAGAGAGAGGGGACAGTTGTGGTGGTGAAGAAACAGGTGAAAATCGTTACCAGGCTGCACTGCGACGAGGAACTCGCTAGACGATGGTTCGTGAACCCTGGATCGGTGGTTCGTTCGTTCGATGGGTCATTCGTGAGGATCGGACCGAAGGGGGGAAAGACTGAAATCAGAGTTAAATAGAACAATGGATGGACTTAGTGGGTATACTTCTTCATTCGTGCCGCGTGAGTGGTACAGGACGAGTCGATGGGAACTACAGTGGACTCTAAGTATATTGCCATGGTCGGGGCTGTAGGGGAGTAATGGCAATGAGTTCAGAGCCCCCTTCAAAAATTGGATCGGATTGAGAGCGAATTTGTGTGCTCGAAAGTACGTGTGAAAGGGAAATGTCTCGTGTGGCAATATAGTTAGAGTCCACTGTATTGTCTAAAATAACTCTACTGATTATAGCAGAAATAACTTTTTAAGTGGAATGTGTTGCATTTGAAATGACTCATCCAATGGCTGCAATATGACTTGTTTTTGGTACCTTATACTTTCCTGGAGTATAAAATGTTTTTTTTTTTTTTTTTTTGTAGAATAGGTAACGAATTATTTTTAGGTAATAGCTCTTATTGACTCACCCTTTATAAGGGGTAGGAATTATTCCAGGAGCTTTGCCTCGGCCAGTATTTATTGCACACTCTACGTACATACTTTTATTATTTATAAAATATACGACCTATTTATTTAGACGAATTGTTTTAACATCAACGTAAGTCTACTAATTCTTGATCCACTAACGCGAAACAGTATTTCGTCGATTAAGCATATCAGACGGCGGACGTTTATGCAAATGTGTATAGATATTTCTTGTTCGTTTTATCGCAAAAAAATGCCATCAAACAATTGTCATACTGCGTTAAATTGACCGAGAATTTGTTTAAAAGTGATCATTTTCAACCATAAAAATATAATCCACAATGTTCAGACTGCATCACAGACTTCTTTGCGATTTAATTTAATAAATAGTTTTTAAACAACAGCTGATTGAATATTGGCTTGAGTCAAATTGATTCAGTGTGACAATCGTGTTTCAAAAAGGAGGTGTGACAGCGAAGGGTTGAATGTTTTTGTATACTGAATTGTAAACAATTACATATGGGCTATGAATGCACAAACATCCGCGCGGTTTATTAATCATAAGATCGACTGTTCCTGTAATATTAACACTAATCGTGAACTGTGATCTCACGCGTAGAAACGAAAAATATCCATCGAGTGTCTACGAATAAAGAATCCATCGAACGAATGACTTTCTTTCTTTTTTCACGAACGTCCTTCGAGTTCTTTTCAGAGGTTATATGAATATGCACAGAGACAAAGACAAAAGTGGATGTCCAAAAGCCGCACTCATGTTTTATTTACGGCCCCGTCAACGAGGCACAACGATAGCATTTTAAAGAACAATAGATTTCATTAAAGTATTATAACAAAGATCAATGATCTCCGCTAGTGGTTTGTCCACTGTGAATTCATGGATTTATTAATCCTTTAACACGTTGACTGCCTACTACGAGATAACTTTTACTTCAAACATTGCTAAGAGGTTGGATTATTTAAATATCGTTACAAAATTTTTCACAGTTTAGGTGATAATTCTGTGTATCGCTTCAAATAAGTCACCCTGTATACGACATAATCACTTAAACGGTTAAACAACGCCGGTGGATCCATAACCCGTGACTAGATCGAAGGGATGTAAAATGTACTAGTCGGCGATGTCGGTGAATCGCGTCAGAGTTTCGTGACTGTCAGCAGTCAGTTTCGATATTGTAAAAAGAAATTCCGTGCGCGTCGGTTCGCTCCACAGGAACGCTTTACGATCGATGAACAGTCGCGTTCTGTCTCTCGTAAATCATCGGCGAGCTCCGATCGAGCTTAGACGCGAGCAATTATCCGTGGCAATTTATCGATTCCGCGAATCAATACCTCTGAAAAGATATAGAATAAGAAACAATATTTGTCGAATCATTGTTATTCGTAATTGTACAAAAATCAAATATAATGTTTCGAAATTCGAAGTATTTAGTAATTTCCATATCATCGATGAACAATCGATTTAACAGAAAAGAATGTATGATTTCAAAGTTCATCAAGTAATATACAGTTTTTAACGAAGGACAGCAATAATTATTCATATGAAAATCGAATGAAAATAGTATTATTTGACATTGGACATTTTTTTTAATTACGTCACAGTCACTGGTGAACGTATTAAATCGCCGTCGAATGACAAACTTTTCCACTCGTCAGACACACCATTATTTTCCAAGCGTAGAAAAAAGTATTGTCACTTTGCAAGTCATAGTAAATAATAGCTACCCGTTAGATCGTTCGTGATTTCTGGATAGATCTACACGAGACCACGTCTTTCGTGAACCGGAAAACGATGTGACCTAGGAGAAAACATTGTATTCTGTCGAGTCACGAAGTCGATTGTGTATCGTTCTACGAGTTCTATTGTACTCGGTCAGATGTCTGATAGTTATATCTGTCGTGTACCGATTGTAAAAGATACGTGTCCAGTGTGCATAAACGAGTCTTTCTGTATCTGTCCAGTTGAGCATAATGCCCACTCGAATTTTGCAATGGTAGATTGCGATCGTCTGACTGCAAATTATTCGGCTGATTTTTAGAAAGAAACTGGAATTCTACCTACATTTATACTACATTCACTAGTTCTATACAATGGATACACAATTCTCGTGTCTGTATTATAGACACAGAGGTAAACAACCGTGATCCATTTCAATATGCAGTTCGAAGCTAGGAACATTCACATCTGAGTGCAGATTTTAGGATTCTATGACCTATCTCCTGTACTAATCATTTTTCGACGTATATAGGTTAACACTTTTTTATAGAGTACCTTGAGCTGTATCAACTAATGCATAAAAAATATATGATTCTATTTAAAAAAGTGGAGGTGACCTTGAAATCATCCAAACATCTCTAGCTGAAAAAAAAAATTGTTACTGTCATATTATAGCCCCCTTTATACAGAACAACTTTTACTAATAAAGTTTTTTTGCAAGGGCAAAAACAACGGAGATGTTCAAGTGCTAATTCTTATTGGACCACCCTGTATAATCGGGTTGGATCTGATAGTCACATAAGAGTATCGTGCCAATAGGGACAAGTGATCTTAGATATATTGATCAGAGTTGTACAAGCCACACCCTGTTTTAGGTTAACATACTTATTCAGATCAGCTTTGAATAGTTTGGAAATGTCCAAGACATCCCACGTACCAAAGAAGCTTATCTGGACCAAGCCCAAAAGATTACACTAATGTTCCACATGTGTTTACCACCTCGTTGTATCGTTATCAATTGCACCGACACCCAATCGACATAAAGTTCAATAAATCCCCTATCGGAATAAAAACGTTTCCATTCGGGAGTTCCCCTAATCTTCGATCAGACACTCCTTCAAAGCGAAACACAGATTCATCGAAGATAAAAGATCGACAGCAAGATAATTTCTCTCGACAAACCTTCGAACACGCGTTCCTGTTCACCTGTCAAAGTTCCTTGAAACGTTCCCCTTGAAATCGAACTTCAACGTTCCTTCGAGAACACTTATTAGACTAGCAACAATTCTGTACTTGCAGCTGCAAAATCCGCTTTTTAAAAGTGTTCCGATAAGCTTCCGGGTGTCGATCGATCGCCGTTATCTTATCGTGGGATGTTGGACCTGTCAGTGTCGGGTACGAAATTTCGGGGTAGTTCGACGAGTGGCCAGGTGAGAGGCCTAATACACACACACACATACACGGTCGTGTTTTCTTCATTAATTCAAGAATTCTTTTGAGAGTCAAGGGTGACAGGACCATTCAGTCGACCCAGCTTTTTCACCGGAGCAAGGTATGGTAATGGAGGTCAACTGGAAATCGTTAGCAGAGTTTCTTCCTCACGGAAACACGATTTATTCGTGTTAAATATCCTGGGGAAGAACCGCCGAGGGGACAGGAGAGAAAGGAAATTTCGGGAGGGGTGAGCAAACGGAACTTCGAATTACGAAAAGGACACTTGTTTGCGGATAATTGTTGGGATGGGATTGGAGACGTTGCGCGTGACCCTCTTGTCCTGTACAGGGTGATTCAAAATTAGACAAATATTGAAATGCAGATATTGATAGTTACACCCAGAAAATTGTGAACTGGGGTCTCGATTCGTACACTTGATTATTATTACATATATATATATATATATAAAATATATAAATATCATGTACAGGGTGGTTCAAAATTGGTGGAATCCTGCTGTTTGGGATTTTTTAAGGTAGTTATGGTCTAAGCGTTGTGAACTGGAATTTATTATTGGGATATACGGTATACGTTTATCCTGTACAGGGTGATTCAAAATTGTTGATACGTTGAAGACGATACCTAGAAGTCGATAATTACAAGTTAAGTGTCGTTGATCGGATCCGGTAAGTTTACTGAATAATCATTACCCATAAATGGCACTTTCGACCTTTACAGGGTGATTCAAAATAATCAAGATATAAATTCGAGAAGTCTAGAAATCAATTCATACAATTTTAATGTAGTCGATAATAATAATCCTGTACGTTTACTCGATTGCTATTGTTACCAGACAGCAAATGACGTATAGTATTTTTTCCACCACAAAATCGACAACCGTCGAATCAACGTGTAATAAGAGGGGGGAGGGGGGAGGCAACAAAAAGAGCGTTCCGAAGATGGAGAGAAAAAATAAGAGTCGATCAGCGCTCGGATGCAATTAACGGGATATACAGTGGGATGAATAGAACGCTGTGAACGTTCCGTAAAGTCTCTACCCCGACTAAACGAAACGGCCGTTAATGAGGCCACGTGCACCTCCCTGCACAGACAATGCTGACGCTGGATACACACGGGGCGGTCCACGCAGTTGTAAATATTGATCCGAGGGAAACACAGCTGTGAAGCTATTATTTAAAGAAGGTACCAACCTAACATCATTCTCCTTTGCTCTAAAAGGATTACATACTGAAATAAATAAATACTGTGCATTTATACGTAAGTTCACTGCATCGTGGAAATGTATAGGTACGTACAACGATATTATACTACCGCAGTATAGAACATCAGACTGATGTTTTATCGAATTCTGAAAGATTTCGCCGCAATG